CCCCCTCTGGTCAGCGGGCCCGCCGGCCCCACGCGTCCTGCGGTGTCGCCCTGTCCGGCCGCCTGGGGCTCAGCCCGTGGACCTGCGCGGGCGCGGCAAGCCCTTTGGCCTCATCTGTAAACCGGCCATATTTCTCTCTAAGCGCTTTTCTTAATGGATGAGCACAAACGCCAAATAGCATGCTTAACTTTTCTAGGGTTCCCCTATTTAAATGTCCCCCCAGCCCTCTACCTGCTGAATAGGTGGATGTTGGTGTGGCTTACTGTTTCTTCTTGGAAAGGGGGAACAAAGTTGGGGGACTCCGCCTGAGGGGTCTGGCAAGCTGTCCCTGAGGAGGCTACGCTTCAAGTGAGTTTTGGAGGGCTCTTGGTTTATTCATTCCGGAGAAAAGGGAAGCTGGAGTGGCGGTGAAGCTGCTGGGGTTGGGGGACCACTGCACTGGATTAGCCTGCCGGATGGAAAGACCCCGGGTGAGTCCGAGTGTAGACAGTCCCCGCCATTGGTCTTTAGTTGTTTTCCTTTCACTCGGTGCTGTGTAGGGGAAACGTGATGGCTGTCGCTGTTGCTTAGAACATTGTGTTCACGAAGTCATATGTTTGAGCCCAGCGTGGGCCACTCTGCCCCACCTATACCCGGGCCCCAGACTGGAGCCTTTGGCTGGGTCACACTTGGAAATGGGTGTTTGTGATTGAGTGGGAACTCTCCTTCCCCCTGGATTATCAAGCATTTCAGAGTCGCTGGATGTGGTCTCTGTAGGCGAAGGGACTTTTACCTAGGTGTTTCATGGAGGACTTCCCCACTGGCTGCTGTTTTGGTGTCATTTAAGTGAGGAAGAGCTCTCTGTTACTGCCCCGGGGGACTTCCCAGGCAGTTGGCCTTCCTTGGGCCTCGGTGGTTTTATTGGGCATGTTTGTGTATGGACAGTGTGGCACATCTCACTTTACAGAGCGCTTTCCTATAGTTGGGAGAAGTTCCAAGCGGGGTTCAGAACCGGTGGACAGCGCGTCACCTCATTCCATTCTATCTCAAACCTTCACCCGTCTTGTGAGGCAGGCGAAGTGGTGGAGCAAACCTTTTCCACACGGGCAAAATCCATATTGCCCCACATGGGCAGCTCGAAGGGGTGTGTTGGGAGCGAAGTTGGGTGGGCTCGAGTTGGGAATCCTGGAATCAGAATGCACTTTGTCCATGGACGATATGTGTCTATCTCACCCCTTTGCAAAGGTTGATTTTCGACTCGTCGAAGCACGGATGTGCAATGAATCTCCTCTGGTATTGCGTCTGCACAGCCAGCGCCCCCGTTAGTATTAGCTGTGGGGACGGTGAGGTCTAGGTCTTTGTGATACCTTTGGAAGTGTCAGAAAAAAACGCTGTGTTCACTGCAGCCTCCAGCGCTGAGTCTTCTACTCTAATTTTATGAGGAGTAAGCTGTGAATGGTAACTCCCTTCCTAGGAATTTAGCTTTCAGTTATAAGATACATAGACGAACACACTTTCTTTTTTTTTTTTTTAAAGACCATTATAGTCACCCCTCTTTACCAGAGGAGACCACTGTTATCAGTTTGCGTTGGACCCTCTCAGTTCCATTTTTATATTTTGTACTCTGTACTCAGAAAACATGCACCTCCTTGTGCATGCCGCCCGTGGTGCCCTAGGGTGGCGTATTAGTCGTCTTCTGCTGCTGTAACAAATCGCCACTTTTAGTGGCTTGAGCAGCTCAAATTTATCACCTTACAGTTCCGGAGGTGAGTAGCTGAAAACAGGTGTCTCTGCTAAAATCCAGGTGTGTTCAGGGCTGCACCCTTAGTGGAGGCCCCTGGGGGAGACGTGCCTCCTGGGCTTTTCCCACCTTCAGGGGCCTCTGGCGCTCCTTGGCTGAGGGTGCCCTTTCTCCAGCAGCCCTGAGCCAAATCCTTCCTGAGCTGTCATCCCTCTGGTTCTTCCTGTCTTTCCCCACTTGTAGGGACCCCTGGGGTTACATTGGGTCCCTGCAAAATCCACAACTTTCCCCTGGTTTTAGGTCAGGTGATTAGCAACCTGAATTTCCTCCGTAGCTCTCATCATCACCCTTTGCTTTGCAACCTGTCAGAGTCACAGGTCAGAAGTTAGGACGTGGACATCTTTGCGGGGCATTATCCTGATGACCACTAATAGATACACTATGAGCAGGATTGCTGGGCCATAGGGCTTGGCACACTCCGTCCTAATGGATACTGACACGTTATCCTCTTTGGTGACCGTTGCCAGTTTAAACTTATAATAGCAATGTATTAAAAGCACCCTTTCCCCATAACCTCGTCAACACAAAATATCATTTTTAAAACTCCCTTCAGACTTAGGAAAATTAAGAAAGTGTTTCATTTTTGTTTTAATTTGCATATTCTTGATTATTAAAGAGGTTTAGTTTCTTGTAGTATTTTCACCTGGGATGACCTCTCTGAACTGACTTGATATCTTTTGCCCATTTTCATATGGGATTGTTTTTTTCTTTCTGATTTGTAGCAGTTCTTTTTGTGGTTTGGACATAAACTGTTTGTGGATTTTAAATTGAAGTTATAGCTATCAAAATAGATGATTGACCAGAACATTCTGTTCCTTGACTGTGGAGAATGAGGGTTTATTTCAGGGCCTGTTTTGAGGTTATAAAAAGCTCAATGATTGTGACTTAAAATAATGGCAAAGAATGATCCCAGATAAGAAGCTGGAGGAGTTCATCACCACCAAATCAGTATCACAAGAGATGGTAAAGGGACTTCTATAAGAAGGAGAAAAATAAATAAATAAATAATATGACTAAGAAAATATCGCAAAGAAAAAAATTCTCATTGACAAAGGCAAACGCATAATAGCAGTGGATCAGCCAACGCTAGAGGTAGCGCAGTGGAATATTCCTCGGCCATTAAAAAAGAAATGAAGTCTTGCCATTCGTGACAACATAGATGGACCAAGAGGATGTTATGCTAAATGAAATAAATCTGAGAAAGACAAATACTACACTACATGATTTCACTTATATGTGGAATCTAAAAAAAACAAACAGGCAAGACAAGCAAACTCAGAGATGCAGAGAACAAACTGATGTTGCCAGCTGGGAGGGGGCTGGGGGCTGGGTGAAAAAGGCGACGGGATTGAGAAGTGCAGCACTGTCACGGGGCGCG